TCGGGGCACGTGGGGTTGACAGAAGTGGCCTTGAGCATCTGATGCTAAGAGTCAAGGCTGGGGCGCTCCCGCGGGCACGACCAAGGTGGAAGCCGGGATCCGTGCCCGGAGCGGGGCCAGAGAAGCGGGAGATCCACAGGGCTCCTCTTACGGGTCTTTGGGATGTGCAGCCCAGTGAGTCAGCCCTCTTTCCCCCCTATCCCCGAGAACCACTATCCTAGCCGGTTGCCACGGAGGAAATACAGTCATTTCTGCTTTTCTGCTTCGAATCGCGTTAGTATCTAGCTCACCGAATCAGATTTCTCAAACCGGCTTTTTCTTCTGTCCACCAGAGAGCATCTGTTCCCACCGTTCTGGGGGAAAGTACACCAACTCACAAGGTTCAGCTTTCTGCTTAGATATGCTTGCAGCTGTTTGTTAAGATGTGCTATATTAAAAACTCTACCAGGTTGTTTTCAGTGGTTTGTTGGTTTTGTGGTGTTTGTTTGTTTGTTTGTTGTTTTTTTTTTAATGGTTACAATGTGAAACCTTTTAGAACTTTCTCATCTTTTCCTTCTTGCTGGTAACGTTTGCCTGATATCTTGATATCCATGTTGTGTGCTGTAGACAAGTGAATCTATGATAATCATCAAGCTACAGCAAAAAGGCCACAAAAAGTAGTATGTTACCAGCAAACAGAGCTGCGCACACCTTTCCACACACCACAGCAGCAGCAGCTCCTGTCCTCTGTTGTGTTTCTCTGAAGCAATCCAGCTGGCCACATGTGCAGTCCACTGCTTCTGTGACTTTCTGTGCGAAAACGCTACCTTTTTAAACTTATCTGACAGTTGGTTTTATCAGGAGTTCAATAATGAACAGAATAAAGCTCTCCTTAAAATGTATGGAAGATTAAGAAAATATTTTGGTCATTTCAATTACTTGGGAGAAAAGCTAAGTGCTTTTTCAAAGGCTAAGTGACCTGCATAGACACTCTATAAATCAATTAACTAGTTAATTAAAAGAAGAAATTTTCATGGAATGTCATTGTTATAAAGGGCATCTATCATTATCACATAATAATCTTCTTTAGCTAAGGAACTCAAGGAGCAAAGTTCTCCTGAGTTAATGCACTTAAGACTCAGCTATTGTTACCTCAAAGCAAGTGCAAGCCATCTCTTCAAACAATGAAACATCTTGGTTTTTTTTATTTCCCCTGCTTCTTCATTATTTAAGGGAAAGGAAATTATGTAGGCATTTTTTAGACTAGGAGCCAATCTGAAGATGGAATTGGCAACTCTTTTTAGGAAGTATGACAGACAGCAAAATATTTTCTTTACATTCAGGAAACACTGTAGACATAGACCTGAAAAATATTTCAGTGTCTAACAACTGAAATCCTATCTATAATATTTTTACTTTCTTTAGGATATGACTTAGGGACCTAAATGTCCTTTAGAATTTGCTCCCAAGTTTTTAAAAGATTCTACAAATGGCTCTGGCCAATGCGAGAGTAATATTTTTGTGCATTGCCATTACAGCAAGAGAACTACTGTTAGAAGAAAGTAGCTGCTGCTCATCTGTGCCCCGTGTGTAGTAGTAGTAGTATTTCCTAGTTGTGGATGTAAGTTCCATTTGCTGATATTAGGAGAACAACAAACTTCAGTAGAGACAAACTGTCAGCACTGTTCTCACTATCAAAACTTATTCAGCTGATCAAAGGGCACCAGAACTGCCACAGTGTCCTGTCTTACTATTGAAAATGTTGAAGCTAACCATGTTGCTAGGACAAATGGGTCGTAGATCAAGGATTCCTGCAGCTGTGCTAGAAAAATGAGAAAGTTTTTTCCAGTGGTTCTTTTCAACAGATGAACAAAGGCTTACACTTCACTTGGAGGAGCTGGAGCCAAGATCACATCTCTGATTGACCTTAGGTAATGTTCTCCTCATGACAATTCCGAGTTTGCTGGTGGAGGTAAACCAGTATTAACAAACAAAAAATGTTGGAAGTGCCATCTTAGCACAAACAAACTAATGTTAATAACCTCCTCAGTCAAAAGTATGATGCCTAGCAACCTACCTTAAAGGGATGTTGTAAGAATTTTAGGATTTGTGAAGATTTTTTAACGTCTTGGTCCAAACTGCTACGAAAGTACATAATTTTACTTGTCACAAAATATACTCAAACAAAATTTACAAGACTGTTAAAATGTCAACACTGTGTTTTTGTTTAACAATAACAAGGTAATGGTTCAAGGTGTATCTGTGACATTTGTCCTATCATCTGACTGTTTATGGATTTTTTTTAAGTGGGCTGGATATCAAATGACTGTACATATCAGGGAATTCTTGTGCAATTAATTCATGTGATAGCATGACATAGAGAGGACAGAGGAAGGAACTGGCAATCAAGAATCTCCTATAGGTATATGAATATATACTAAACCAACAGTCCACTGAGTACACATAAACTCTTGTACAAAATATATAGTTGTACAAAAAATACATTTGCATGTATTAATTTCCATTTAATAGCTTCCACTTTCTTGAAGGTTCTTTATGGAAATCCTTATATAGTTTCCTATGACCTCATTCTGTATCAGTAACAAAAAGCATTAGCTTGAGTAGTATGTTTACAATAAAGATATCCTATCACACAAGAGGTGATATTTTCTGACTCTCCAAAGAAACCACATAAGGAAGACTTCTGCTTACTGTAAAATAATGACTTTGTGTCCTGAGTGATTTCTTTTTTTTTTTTTCCAACTGAATGAACTCAAACATCGTAACTTCTGGAAATCATATGTAAACAATTGCTTGGAAAAAATAATTAGTAGTATCTTATGCAGTCTTAATGTAATCTGTGTTCTGTAAAGATTACTTCCTGGGGATTTTTTTAAAGCTGAGGTAAAAGGCAATTTCAGTTAAAAAAAAAACCCCAACAATTATACTGAAATATTTAGAATTATATTAGTTTTCTCTAGAAAGCATATACAGTATTTTAGTTGTACTAACTTAGAGGTAGAAGTTACAAATAACTTTCAATATTACCATTTACAACAAATGTGTTTATGCTGAGATGAAATTAAGAAGCACATTTTTTTGTGGAACCCAGAACTTTCATAAAGGAAAATAAATAAATCCAAGTAGCAAAGAATTGACAAATGAACTGTGAAAAAAACTCCTGATGCAACATGAACCATAACAAAGTTAATTTATTATTCCTTTCTCTCCTCATGGAAGTGTGGGCTTTTATATTAATGTCTATTAAATGCATAAGCAAATTAAGGTAAAATTTTGAAAGGAATATAACTCCAGGGTATATTTTTATGCTGTAATTCCAACTGCATGCATAGTGAAATAGGAAACTAATTGTTGTGAATGGTATTGTACTAATGTAACTGTATGATTTGGTGAAAATTAATGTGATTTATATGCAGATGAATGTGGAACTATATGAATTTACAGTGAATTTACTTGATTCAACAGTTGACATTTTGCCAACTTACAAGTTTATGTTGCAGGGAGTTGGACAAACTTTGTTGGACTGATTAATGTTGCTGCATGATGAATATGAACCTCTGAAATTGCTTTGAGAAATGATTTATTAATTCTGCCCACACACATTTCTACTAGTTTGAGTGAAAAAAATTAAGACTAGAGTGAGTATGAATGAATCACGGAGATAGGTGAAAATGCATTTGGGTGGGCAATAAAATGACAATGGAAATTCGCTGCCTTTTCCTTACTCATTAAATGACTGAATTTAAGGACAGTAAGTGGGAGGGATTTTTATCAGATCACTCATTTTTTGCCTCATATCTTTTTGAAAATGGCAGGCCTTTCAGGCAGACTGTGAGATATTTGTGTTTTTTCGTTGTTGTTGCTGTTACTGTTTTTAATGAACCCCACATTTGTAGTAGATTAGCAGCTAATCTAGTAGGAGTGGGAGGGTACAAGTGACAAACATTAGCCCCACCTATGGCCGCAGTTAAGGATGACCCTCTCCATTAGGGATTTTATCTGTGTGAGCACTCAGTATAATGAGCAGTGAGAAGGAAATGAGACAGGGAAAACTATTACACAGCACCAGATATCTTTTATCATGTTATGTTCAGAAAGTACTGTTATAATGCCCTGTCTGTTACAAGTCCTCCTTCTTTAAGTTCCAATTTAAATGAAAATTCTTCTATTGTGCACTAGGACTCTGCTGGGCTTCCTGCTAGTCAAATACGATCACAGAGATTTTAATCTCCAACAGCTTTAATCTTCCACACCTTCCCTTTTCTACTGTTAACATCCCCATGCTTTTGTCATCCCACTCCTGTTCTATTTCTCTGTACTCCTGGTCTCTGCCCTCCTTCCTTTTCATGCATGTCTTCTGTCAATACTCACAAAAAAATCTCAAATACCAAGACCTAAGGAACACTCAAAATACTGTTTCATCCGCATACTTTAGCTCCCATGTGTCTCTCTCCTTACAAATTTAGCTTTGTCATTTTTCACCACATATCCTTCTACTCCACCAGCCTGACCAAGACAAGTGCGTATAGTAGACTCAAGATACAAGTCACTACTAGTTTT